CCAGGACCCCGGGATCATGACCTGAGCCAAAGGCAGAGGCTTTAACCCACTGAGCCACCCAGGCACCCCACTTGGGCGTTTTTTAAAAAGCCAAACATACACTTATCAATTGATTTAGCAACTAAACTCCTAGGTATCTACCCAAAAGAAATGAAAAAGTATGTCCACACAAAAGCTTGCATACGAATATTCATTGTATTGTTATTCACAATAGCCGCCAAACTGGAAACAGTGTCCGTCAACTGGTAAATTGATAGACATGAGGTTGTATGTCTGTAGAGGGGAATATTATTCACAATAAAAGCATTATAAGAAATGGAAGGAGACAGGCACCAAAGGCTACATATTATATGATTTCATTCACATGAAAGTTTTAGAAAAGACAAAATTGTGGAGACAGATCGGTGGTTGCCTAGGACTGCGTGGGAGCAGAGATGGATGGCCAACAGGCACAAGGGAACTTTTTGTGGTCATGAAAGTGCTCTAAAACTGAATTGTAGTGATGGCTGTATAACTGTATAAGCTTGCTAAAATTCAATGAAATGTTCACTTAAAATGGGTGATTTTTATGGTATCTAAATTAAACCTCAATAAGGATGTTTTAAACAAAACAGAAAGCTATTGTGACTTCATAGCACCCTTTCTGGCTCACCTTTGAAATATTCTGGTGCATGTGTAACTCTGGTAAAATTGTCCTTGAACTTTCCTCCCACACTCGCAGAAGACTCGACATGGATGGTTTAGCAAGCAGCTCTAACCCCGGTGGAAGGATTTTCTTTATCTTGGAGGAAGTTAGAAGGAGGAAACTGACAAACAGGAGCATGTAGAGATGAGCATGATCAGGATGGGGAAGACCTTACAAATCATATTACAGTCATTCATCATTCTTCTATCAAATACCTTTTGGAATGAAATGCTGTGTCTATAAAATAGTGAACAATATGGACAACGTCATTGTCCTCCTGGAGCTTATCATCTAGTAGTGTGAAATTGAGGGTGGATGGACAGACAGACAGAAACAGGCAAAAGTAAATGGAAAGCACCTTAAGTACTCAGGAGAGAGTTAAAACTGTGGTTTTGGAAAAGGACTGGACCACAAGAGGGAGCCAGTCTTGCAAAGACCAGAAGGAGGAGCATCTCAGGTACCATTTTTTTTTTTTTTTTTTTTTTTTTACTGTACTTTGTCCCTTGAGGCTGTTTATTCCCTCTTTGCTCAGCTAAAATTCAGAGTCAGTAAATATAACCACTTCCTCAACCTCCTTAATCACATTAATCTCTCACACTGGTTGGCAGAATCACAACACTGTTCAGATTCCAACTGTCTACCTAGACTGACTGGTCTCTCCTTAAACTTGTCACCAGGAACTTGAGATGGCCCTTGCTGTTTCCCAGCTAACATCCCACATCTGCCTCATCCAGTCACTTGCCTACATTCTACATTACTACATTCTCTTTCTGCTAAAGGAGTGTTGTTTTCTCTCCTCTCCCCCATTCTCTCCCAGTTGATGACTGTGCTTCTTTCCTCATTGAGAAAACTGAACAATCAGAAGACAATGTCCACTGGTTCTTACCACATCCACACGTCCATACAGGTGTACCCCCTGAGACCCTGCCTTATGTCCTATCAGTCAGGATGCACCCTCAGGGCTCCCAAGTAAAACCTTCCACTGGTACATAAGATGCCACCCTCTTGTAGACCTACAGACCAAGCTAGCAAACCCTCCCACTCTATTCTACATCATGAATTTTTCCACTACTGGACCATCTCCATTGGTATACAAACAATCATTTCAAGAGCATTAAAGACGAACAAATAAAAATCTCCCCTTGACTCCTTGACTGTATCTCCCACATTTTTTTATCATCTTATTTCTCTGTAACCTTTTGTAGTCAAACAGTTGTCTATACTATATAAGCAGTCTCCAATTCTTCTTCTCCTGTTCTCCCTTAAATTCTCTCCAGTCCAGCTTTTGTGCCACCATAGATCTGAAACTGGTCTTTTCAAGGCCAATAAAACAAACACAATTAAAATCCTGCCATAAAGAAAAATGAATGAAGCATCTGTGAGTGAGAGAAGAAGTTAGGGCATGTCTGTGTGTGTTTGGGGGGCAAATATCCTGAGTTATAGCAGAATTATAGAAGTTGGGTTGACCACCTGTAGCATAGGAATTATTTAGATAATTAATCTTCTTTCCACTCCATCTGAACCATACTTCCTCTCCATATATTTCGTCAACTGTCTTTGGAATCTACTGCTGCCCACCTTTTTTTTTTTCTTTTTTTAAGTTTTTATTTATTTATTTGACAAAGAGAGAGAGCATGCTCAAGTAGGGGGAGCAGCAGGCAGAGGGAGAGGAAGAAGCAGGCTCCCCACAGAGCAGGGAGCCTGATGCAGGACATGACCCCAGGACCCTGGAATCATGACTGAGCTGAAGGCAGCTGCTTAACCAACTGAGCCACTCAGGTGCCCCTGTTGCCCAGCTCCTTAAAGCTGTCTGAATATCCCATTACCCTGCTCACCATTCAGGGAGAAGAGCTTAAAACAAAATCATAACAGTGAATGAGAGAGTCTTCATTTATGTTTTGTATCTGAAATTAATGTGAAACCTCAGAAAACTAAAAGTCTCTTTAACCCAACCAGGCATAATTTCAAAAGTCTGGGAAAGATGGGGCGCCTGGGTGGCCAAGTTGGTTGAGCATCCGACTCTTGCTTTGGGCTCAGGTTACGATCTCGAAGTCGTGGGCTCAAGCCCTGCATCGGGCTCCGTGCTCAGTGCAGAGTCTGCTTGAGATTCTCATTCTCTCCCCCTCTGCTCCGCTTCTCCTCTCTCTCGCTCAAATAAATAACTAAAAATTTTTTGAAAATCTGAACAAGAATTGCCCCCAAACAATATCCCTCTAGGTTAAGATAAATAATGATTTTTTAGCTCTCCATCTCTACAAATGGCCTTACCAGGGATTATAGATACTCAGGCAGCTTAGAAAGTCTGGCTGCAGTACTCTGCTTGCTGATGTTATCACCAGGAACAACTGTGACCTACTTCAGTGAGATGGCCTTAGCTCCTTTAGTGGACAAGTTGGTTCCTACTGGAGATAGCACCAAATGAAGGAGACTTTTGACAACCGTCCTGGCCAGTTGGTTAATGCAGAAATCCCAATGGATAGTACAGATCAGCATTTAGCAACATGCAAGTCACAGTCTGTTATCAGATGATGAAATGCACTTGGTGGGTTGACCAACTTTTAAAAGGTCAAATCGAATAGAAAATATCAGAGTTCATTACACATACTGAGGCTATGACATAGTTCATGAGACTGGTTGGAGTTCCAAAGGGGTGTGTCCTGGATCACAAAATTAAAATTTTAAAAATTAAACCCACTGGTCTAAATCCATTCATAATAAAATAGCCAGTGTGGCTGAAGGCACTGATCAAAATTAGAGGACATTTGGAAAATAGCCCCATCATTTTCAGCATCATATTATCAATAGGCATGAGCAGAAATAAGGGAAATCCAGAGCACCTTAAAGGGGGACTTTCATACACAGGACCAGGTGAAGAGCTTGATACTGGTCTCTAAAAACAAAATTGCCATCGTAGAAGCTTTATACTTGACAAACCACACTCACAAACTTACTCTCATTTGAGTATCTTGTCCATCTTTCATAGTAGATATGACAGGAAGGTGGTGGGATCTGAAGCAGGTTTCAGTGATCCCTCCAATTTAGGTCGGGAGCCCAGCCAGGAGCTGGGAGAAAGAACAAGCCTCAGGGAGAAAGCTGGCAAGGGTAAAGAACTCTGAGTGGGTCCCAGCCAAATTAACTAGGGTTTACGGCAGAACTCCAGTTCCAGGAGGGAGCAGGGGAAGGATGAACAGGAACTGGGGCAGAAGCCCAGCTATTAAACAAAGCACACACATAGCCAGGCCCACCCCAGCACATTGGATTCCATGCTCACACATACAGGGTTCCAGAAGTCCATGACTGGCTTTTGAAGAAGAAACAGAAACATACCAGGTGGATAAGGGGCAGAATGGAAAGGTTGTCAAGCCGTTACAAAGGCATGAAGAGACTAGCGAGGAGTGGCAAGTTAATCAATCAGACTCTCATGAGTAGAGTTGCCAGAAAAAATAGAGGATGCTTATTTAAATTTGGATTTTGGATAAATAATGAAAGCCTTTTAGTGTAAATATGTCCCATGAAATATTGGAGACACATTTATACAAAAAAAAAATTGTTGCTTATCTGAAATTTAAATTTACCAGGGCATCCTGTATTTTTATTTACAGATTTTGGCAACCCTCCCCTGTGGATGTTATGAAGGATCAGATGGGTAGGCTTTGGCAGGGCAAGATCACAAAGCATCTTGTGTGCCACGCTTGGTAGATAATGGGAAGCCACGAACATTTTTAGGTAGGGGCATGATATAAGCAGGTTTGCATTTTAGAATCAACCTTTGGAGAATGAAATAAGAGTTGAGAAACTCAGGAACTGAGAGACCAGAAAGCTGTTTAAATAGCCTAGACTCCAGGAGAGTTAAATTTAATTTCCTTCACTTCACAATTCTAAGACTGACTGGAGCTGTAGAGACCGATCTTTTTTTTTTTTTTTTTTTTTTTTTTTTTTTCAAGAGCTGTTCTTTGTTTTGAGGAACAAAGAATGTTCTGGGGGTAGGGTCCATGTTTTGCCTTGCCCAAAAGCTGTGTCAATCAAACACTTCTTGAGGGTGCTGTGAAGATAAGGTGTGTATATCAGTCCTTGGCTAGTAAGTTCAATGTTTCACCACTGCATCCCCAGTAGGTAATCAATAAACATTTGTTGGATGAGTTCCTTAAGGACAAAGTCTATGTCTTCATCATCTTTGTTTCTTTAGCACCTGATCCAGGGCTGGGAATAAGTTTCTCGGAAAATAGTTCTTGATTAAAGTGGTCGAATTAATTAACAACCAGAAGTGCTTCCTATTAACTACACGTCTCCAGCATTATTTCAAAAGTACAATCTGGCATATTTTTTACTCGGATGGAAAGCAAGCCTGCCTCTTACACTGGACCAGAAAACTCTTTTCAACAGCTGCAGAATCATACTGATTGGATGGGGTTTTAAAGGTAATCTTCCTGGTGTTATGTTAAAATGTGAGGGTTTGGGAGATGGGGGTGTGTGGTAGCATTTTCCTAACTGCTTCTAGAAGGTTTGTCTTTGCTTGGGTATTAGTGAAGCTAGATCTTAAGTAAATGCTTCTTCTTGGTTAGATTATCATAAAGTGGTATGAATCAAGTGTTTGTCTTCCATCAACGAGTCTCAGTACAATTACCTCTATATGTTTTTTTCCAAGGCTGAAGTGTGAACTTCTTGAAGGCAGGACTTAACTTAGTTTCAGAATCACAGAACTTTCACTAATACTAGGTTTGTTGAATTTTCTTTTCTTTTTTTTTAAGGTTTATTTATTTGACAGATAGAGATGACAAGTAGGCAGAGAGGCAGGCAGAGAGAGAGAGGAGGAAGCAGGCTCCCTGCGGAGCAGAGAACCCATGCGGGGCTCCATCCCAGGACCCTGGGATCATGACCTGAGCCGAAGGCAGAGGCTTAACCCACTGAGCCACCCAGTCGCCCCGGTTTTTTGAATTTTCAAGAGCAGGAAGCCAAAAGGGAAAGAATAATTCTAGGAAGCACATGCGATAAACAAAAATACATTAAAAATATTATTACAGCCCCCCATTATTGAAGATTATTTCTAAGCATCATACCAGGGTGGGGGCTTCCCATATATTTTATTAAATTCTGATGAAATGTCACTCCTAAAAGCTTCTCTTTGAAGTAGGCGACGTTATACTCATTTTCATATTTCTTTAAATAGAATCAGAGCTGATGAGAAACTTGCCCAGGTAATACATTAGCGGAGCTGAGATCAGAACCTGATTCCAAAGTCCAGGCTCTCATACATCAGGAATTGTCATTGTTTTAACTATGTAGTGGAAAGATAAAGAATGTTGTTAGAATGCCTATAAGAGCTTTACTTTAATCAGCAACCATGTAGTATTTCAGAGGAATAAAGTTTGATCTTTGTAATGATGTGTGAGCGTACATGAATGCAAGATATACAAAAGTATTTAAGTATTTTTGATTATATTCCTTTTTTCTCTGTTCACCTTTGTACTTAAGGGAGCACATGGTTTTAAATATAATTGGGTGCCATCTCTGCCTTGCCGGGAGGTGATGTTGTTACATTTAAAATTATTATCACACTGTTGCTCTCCAGGATGAAACATACGGACTTTAGATGTTACCATCAGTAATACCAACTTAATTTGCACCATCCAAAGGAATACTTGTAGTTCATGTTCAGACATGTGATGGAACCTCACTGATCCAGATGTGTATGAACTCATCTGTGGGACAATCTAGACCCTCCTCTGAGCTCTCAATATGATTGCGTGCATCAAGTTATTCTCCCCTCTTTTAAAGCTATAGATGTGCACTCTTTGTCCAGATGCTGAGATCTTTTCATACTGCTCAACTGCCAGTCTCCTCACTGCGTTCCAGGAAGAGAGTCTCAATAAGAATGCTGCCTCGGGTCGTTTGACTCCAGGCTGAAGAGGGTTAGTCAAATCAAAGTTTAAACTTTACCAACCTTTTGGAGTCTGAGAAAGCAAAAGTCAAAAGGCAAGGGATGCCATAACTAATTACGTGAATTAGAAGGAATTTGAAGAAGAGGAACCAAACAAGGTAAAAAGAGAGGAAAAAGCATTTGGTTTAAAAAAAAAAAAAACTGATTAAACAAATTGTGTTTTGCTTGGCTCTGTAAAGTAGAAGCCTGCCAAAGGTGTAAGAATCAAAAAGCATCTTCAATGTTCTGCTCTCACCAGAAACATGGAAGAATTTCCTAGAGATGTTTAGGAGGGAATTACAGGGGGGAAAAAATTCCTCAACAGGCTTTAATGCATGCTCATTCATTTCCAGGCAGGGTGTTAACCATGGGAGATACAAAATGAATATGGCATGGCCCTGCCCTCCAAGCTTACCCTCAGTTCAGGGAAATACATCAACTGTTACATATGCTGAAGTGTGAAAGGCACCATAAAATAAATATAAAAGGGAAATAGAAGGTGGACAAAGGGGCCGTGATCTACTCTGAGTCTAACAAAAACAATTCATTACAATCATGTAGGGTTGTTCCCTGAAATGACCAACTCTCCTAGGGAAGAGTGAAATCGAATCTAAATTAACAGATACAGTTGAGTTAAAACACAAGAATGGGGATTTTGAAGAAGCAATCAAATCACACCAGTCCCAAGAAGGTAATGATCTGGTAAATGTTCTCCATCTTTAATTTCTAGGCTATCAATTTTACAAAGCAGAGTAGCGGCCAGACGTTACCATCCCGCACCCTCCATCTCCAACCCCTCCTGCAGAGCTATCAGGTGAGCTGCGCTCAATCCAAGCTCCGCCCTAATTAAATGTGTGACCTGGAGCAACTTCCATCACTATTCCACGGCCTCCTTTCTGCGCCAATAAAGCGAGGAACCCTAGCCGATTCTGAAGTCCATTTCTGCAGTGAATTGTGAAATTGAGACAAGAAACCAGAAAGGAAACTCAAGAAAAACAAAAGTGAAAGTGCCCAAAGGAAATACAGTAGTAAATAAAGGTACAAAATTTTATATCTCACTGAAAAACGTGGCAGAGCTCCCAAATACTTTTTTTTTTTTTTTTTCAGCAACCGTGAACACGAGACTTGGCTAAGAATGAAACGTCTATCACGCCCTCCAAATGTGAATACGATCAGGGGAACGTGAATCCACCTTGCTGCATACAACTGTCTTCTTAAACAATGCTCCCTGGCCTTGAACAGCCACTTATTAAAAATGTCTTAAAAAGTAAGTCAAGGTATGATGAATGGTCCGTGGCCACCTATCAACCCCCGCCCTCCATGGAACACCACATAAGGGTGTGTCTCGCTTTGGGAAGAGAGAAAGGATATAGAGAAAGAGGAAAGATTCGAACCAATGTAAGATCTGTGCCTAGCGCTGCCACGCGGTTGTCATAAACAACAGCATGTTAACAAATATCTTAAAACACAGGAAATTCGGTAGCCTTTGAACTTTATTATTTCCTCCGTTTCTGGTGAGACTTCCCTGAAGGTAACCCAGAACCTTACACCCGCTTGGGAGCGAGGGCGCGAGCTCCGAGGTGAAGAGCAAGTGGAGGCGGCCAGAAGGGACCAAGCTGACAGCTTCGCGGAGCGTTTGCAGCGAGTGTGGGACCGGGACGCGCGACGCCACGGCTGGCGGGGGAGGTCACTGGGCTCCCCGTACGGGAGGATGCTCAGTGTCCGCTGCGGGAGCCTCCCTTCTCCGAGCCGAGGCGGGAGGAGGACGCGCGCGCGCGCACACACACGCGCACATCCTTCCCCTGGAGTTGTGTCTCGTCTCCCTTTTGTTTTTCTCCCTTCCCGGTCATGAGACCCGGAAGTTTTTTTTTTTTTTT